CCGGCGCCGGAAGATGACGTCATCTTCCGGCTCCGGTATCATTGCGGTGCGCGAGGGAGCTGAAGAGGAAGCACTGAGTGCTCCCTCGCGCGCCCGCCTGCCTGCCCGACCGGCCACCCGCCTTCCGGGTGTCAGCAGGGCCAGCCTCAGGGGGCCCTGGGGTGGTCGGCTCCTGGGCCCCCCAGGGGAAGAGGCTGGCCCTGTGGCTACATACCGGGTCGCAGGGGCGGCCGGGCCCCCTGGTGGGCCGGGCCCGGTCGCAGTCGCGACCCCTGCGACCCTGGTATGTACGCCAGTGGCCCCCACATGGGGAACATTACTTGGTCAGATCATGCTCCCGTAGACACACGCATGGAGTCCCCCCTGTTCAAACCCAGAGAAAGAACATGACGAATGAACAACTAGTTGCTCCTAGAAGATGAGGTGGTCTTGGCGGTCAATGAAACACTCACCCAATACCTTGAAGATAATGTCAACCACGAGACGCCCCCAGCAGTAAACTAGGAGGCACATAAGAGCGTGATCAGAGGGAAGTTCAGCGCAATAGGTAAAAATTGGAAGAGGACAAGTACAGAGAAACTCTGAACGTTGTTGATGCAGATTGTGAGACACAAACAATCCTTGGTGGATAAGGACTTCATAACCCTGCTCAAATCTAGGAGAAACCTGAAAACACACAGCAACACCTACACACACTACAGAAGTCCAAACGCTTTTTCTGTGAACATTCTAACAAATGCGGTCACATACTGGCGAAAATGCTGAAGAAAAGGCAAAACCACTTCCACATTGGAAAGATATGCGTGAATCCCCACCGGACCACCGAACACCTGAAGTAGATGGCATAGGCCTTCCACAAATATTATGCAGTGCTGTACAATAGACATGTGCAATTCTGTTCCGTCCGAATGGAAATTCGGATGAATTTCGGACATTCGGACATTATGATGCTTCCAAAGGTCCGAAGTGGTAAATTTCGGAAGTTGAGAATTTCGGAAGTGCCGAACCAAACCGAATTTCCAAAGTGACGAATTTCGGAAGTGCCGAAGTGCTTCGGACTTCTGAAAAGTGTCAAAACGGGTAGGCGTACGGTTAGAGCTGGGGTAGGGTTAGGGGTAGGTTGTGGGTTAGGGTTGGGTAAGAAGTAGGGTTAGGAGTAGGGTTGGGTTAGGTTAGGAGAAGGGTTAGGGTAGGGTTAGTAGTAGGATTAGGGTTATGATTAGGGTAGGGTTAGAGTTAGGAGTAGGGTTAGTTTCCCGAAGTACCGAATTGCCGAAGTCCCAAATTTCGTAAGTTCCGAACCAAACTGAAGTGTTGAAGTCCCGAATTGCCGAAGTACCGAATTTCAGAATGCCGAACCGAACCAAATTTTTTGCCCATGCACATCCCTACTGTACAATATCCAGGAGACCAAGAACCCATGGTATGATATTCACTTAGCAGACATAAACAACTATCTCTTCACCCATGTCAAGAGGCAAATATCGTCGGAGGAGAGGGACACCCTGGATACAGAGATCACACTTGAAGAATTAAATGGGGCCATCAAAACATCCAAAACAGGCAGGGCCCCGGTGGCTTCCCCCTGCAGTACTATAAGAAGTTCGGGGCGTCCTCCTACCATACATGCTGACGTCCTGAAGGGGAAAACTGGGGACAGAGTCACTCCTAGCGTACAGCATACTCCTGAAGGAAGGGAAAGACCCTGAACAATGTGCGAGCTATAGGCCAATTTCCTTACTAAACTGTGATAGCAAGATACTTGTTAAGGTCCTAGCGGCATGCATGAAACCAGTCCTAGCATCATTAGTAAAGCCAGACCAAAGTGGGTTCATCCCTGGCCAGGAAGCGAAGGATAACTCCATCTGTCTTCTGAACATACTACACTTGGCCACTTCCAAAAGCCGCCACCTGGTCATACTCTCCACTGACGCAGAAAAGGCGTTTGACCGGGTAGACTGGGGTTTCATGCTCCTTGCACTGAAGAAGATGGGGTTCGGTGAGACATTCTGCCATTGGATCCAGGCTCTCTACTCCACACCCTCGGTGAGGGTGCAAATAAACGGAGGACTTTCACTACCAGTAAAAATCACCAATGGCACACGACAAGGATGCCCACTATCGCCCCTATTCTTAGTGCTCACTTTAGAGCCATTCCTGGAGGCAATCAGATCCAACCCCTCCATAAATGGCTTCCAATAAGCCGTAAAGGAATACAAGATATCTGCGTATTCGGATTACTTATTATTTAACGTGGAGCAACTGTTAAGTTCCCTCCCGAACATCATCAGTGAGTTTAGAACGTCTGGCAGACTCAGCAACTTCAAACTGAACTTTGAGAAATCAGAGGCCTTGAACATATCTGTCCCAGCAGGAATCCTGGAACACCTCGCCGACAGCTTAAAATTTTGCTGGTGCACAGACAACATTAAGTACATAGGAATCTGGATCCCACAGGATCTACGACAGTTGTACCGACTTCCAGACGCTACTATTGTGCCTCATGACAGATCTGAAAGCCTGGACGGCCCCACATATCTCCTGGATAGGGCGAATTTTAACGTACTGCCCAGGATGCTCTCTC